ATGCCTGTTTACTTCGAAGCTTTGAAGAAAACTTTCATTCATCCAGACAAGATTTCTGAAGAAATATTTCTAAAATACTTTGGAACTGAGTCTAGTTCCTTCGATATCAGTGTAATCTAATAATCATGATATTTGCTGTGTTGGACTGTTGGTGTAATGTACTCAGGTGAATAAGATGCTTGTGTGATGTTACTCTGAGTGTATATCCACACCGGGCAGGCTTCAAAAATATGCCTGGTGGGATTCGAACCTACAACCTTTGGAATACTAGCCCAATGATCTTCCAAGGAATACTAGCCCAATGCTCTCCCAATGCCTTTGCCAAAGGTCATAGGTTCGAATCCCACCGTGGCCAGGCATATTTTTCAAGCCTGCCCGGTGTGGATATACACTCAGAGTATGCCAACTGAGCTATGCAGTCAGGTCGGTTTGAGTATGCAATACTTTGGAACTGAGTCTAGTTCCTTCGATATCAGTGTAATCTAATAATCATGATATTTGCTGTGTTGGACTGTTGGTGTAATGTACTCAGGTGAATAAGATGCTTGTGTGATGTTACTCTGAGTGTATATCCACACCGGGCAGGCTTCAAAAATATGCCTGGGATTCGAACCTACAACCTTTGGAATACTAGCCCAATGATCTTCCAAGGAATACTAGCCCAATGCTCTCCCAATGCCTTTGCCAAAGGTCATAGGTTCGAATCCCACCGTGGCCAGGCATATTTTTCAAGCCTGCCCGGTGTGGATATACACTCAGAGTAACATGACACAATTTGGATTCTTGCACTTCACTTGGTGGAATTAATATTAGAATGTTAGGGTTGGTAATCCAAGTGAGAATATATACATTTTAAGACCTAACCAAGAACGACTGCGAAAAATGCAGCACAGGGTCCTCTGATAGGAATCACAGGGCCGTAGGTTTATTTCCTACCAGAGGACCTTGTGCTGCATTATTTTGCAGTTGTTCCTGGTTAGGTCTTAAAATGTATATATTCTCACTTGGATTACTAACCCTAACATTCTAATAACATCACACAAGCATCTTATTCACAAGAGTACATTACACCAACACAGCAAATCTTTTTAACAACTGGCCCCTGGAGGGTGACTACCTCACAGGTGTTTGTTGTGGATGATTATTGATGTTGTTGTGGATGATGTCATCCTGATCCTAATCCTGACATTAAAACCTAATCCCAAATCTAAAACTGCAACAAAATCCCATGAGTTAGTCAAGGCCAGCTGTGAATTTGATGTCATCATGATGTTACTCAAATTACACAAAGACATTGTAGTATGGCTCAATTTCCATATTAATAATTCCAAAATTTAATCTCCAGTCCTTATCTTAAAACCAACTCTAGTTCTATTGGTTACCCTGACTAATTCTAGTAATTATCCTTTTGGCACAAAGTTATATGGAACGAGACCCATGATTATACAAGCAAAAGGAGGGAAAACATTTGGGAAAACAAATGGTTCCTTGCTATTTCTCAAATGGCAAGGTATAACATTTGTTCTCCAGATAATTTGAGCGAAGTTTGCAAAGTATAATCACATAATTACTGTGTGGTGCAAAGAAGTTGACATTCTGGTTAAAAGTTTCAATAGAATATTTACAAAATAATATAAAATAACCATCGATACTTAAATGCTTAAATTCTTTCAGTACTTCATTGTCTCTTTAATGCATGTTCTATTGCGTTAATCGGGAATGAGAGTTTGTCTGCTCACTTGAGATGCCTCACCAGTATTGAACTGTTTGAGAATGCCAAATACTATACTAACCATCCCCTCATTGAGTCCCAGCATAAAAACGTAATAGCGTTCACTACACTTACAAAATGCCTCTGCCATGTGTGTATCTGATGTAGCTCTTACTTTTTTCGACAATTGTAATGAAATGCAGCAGTTTTAGAAGAAGCAAAGGAAACTGCAAAAAATTACACATTCTCATCCATTGTGTGCATGTTTGCCTTGCCCACAGTAATTCAGTGTGCCATTCAGTCATTCTACCCACTCACCAATGATACTGTAGCGAAAGAAAATTGGGATTCCTTGGATTCAATTGTACAATACAATATATCTACGGGATTATCTTGATGGCAGTGCAATTGAATATGTCCATATCTTTCATTGTGCTGCGATGCCACCGTCTTATTTGGTTGATCGAAGAATTCTATCTACCAAAAATCATTTTGTTTCCTTGTGCAAACCAGTTAAAGCACTTCAGCCACGAGACCATTATTTTAAAGCACACCTTCCAACCTTATTGAAGTCTGCCTAAATCCTAAAGTTCCTCCTATAGTTTCTCCTAAAGTTTCTACTAAAGTTTTTTCTGCTCCTTCCTCTACACAAGTGACTACATTTACTAAAAAGCAGACGACTGGTCCAAAAAGAAAACAAATTAGCTTAGATCGGTGCGCTTCTTGTGAAACGAGCGTGCAACACACAAGAAACTGTAGACAGTGAAATCAAATTTCCCAGCACTAGTAAAGGAATTTCATCTGTAACTCCCAACACTGGTCCTACTTCAGAAAAATCTAACAGCAAAACACAACGAACTTCCACCAATTCGTGGCCAGATGATATCTACAACTACGTAAATCTGGTGTCCAGTCTTCCTGATTCGAAAAAGTACGAAATTCTGTGCAATCATTGCCATTGGAGACCTGGTTCTGATTTTTCTTTTCCTCCACGCGAAGATATTGGTAGATGTTTCCGGTTGGCATGGTTATCACGATTTCCATGGTTGGCTTACTCTGCTGTGGCAAACGGTGGTTTTTGCGTCACTTGTGTTCTTTTTGGCAGTGAAAGCACGCATAATGCAAGCGAGCTCCAACTATTGATGACCAGTGCTCTTCCTCCAAGTGCTTCTGCTGTCCAGAAACTATGTCAGCATGGTGAAAAATCCAATGTTCACGCAACGGCAACTTTCCGTGCTACACAGTTTAAGCGAATGATCGAGAATAAGACACTTGGTATCGATGCATGTGCAGCTGAAAAACCCACCCCGTAAAAGACCTGCGTTGCAACTAAAACGCCAAGATGATTGAGTTCGATGTACAACCCTAATTGGATATTTTTTGCTACGAAGAACCTGAAATACACAGGAACAGTACATGCGGTACAGAGTTGTGGTTTTATGTAAGTACAGTGATTTTGTAACATTCTAATGTTGTAACGTTGAAGAACATGGTATGTTGTTTAAATATTTGACTTATTTAGTGCGTTTCGTTATTTGCTCTCTAAAATATGGCGTAATTAATGACGAATTATATGATAGAATTCGATGCTCAGAACTCAGGAAATGGCATTTCCGGGTTCAAATTTCAAAAATTTTCCGGGGGGGGAATGCCCCCGGACCCCCCTAATTATAAACGGTTTTGGAGTGTGCCACGGTCACGGTTTGCCTACATCCCAGGTTTAGACCATTTTTTGATAGCAGATAGCCTGACTCAATGACAAATTTACTATCCTCTATTACATTTCATTTTTGTGAACTGGCAGCCAATCTTTCAAAGGAGCTTATGAGTTATCTAATATTGTCTATGCTCAACGATTTTCCATTACCGAGTGATTATTTCGAGTTTGGTTTCAATTCATCAATAGATACCATAGAAGAGGCAACTGATAACATATAAAGACGAGTTTTCGTACCAAAATTGTGTTCATATTTCAAAAAAATAAATTTGAAGAAATTACCGAATCTAGTTTAGTTTCTACACTAAACAATTATTATCCGCTCTCGATTTCTATGAGTCGACTATCGCTTCATATAAAATTAATCTCGAGCTCCGCATAATCCAATTGTTATATAATCAATAAGTTTACTGTTGTAGCTAGTTAGTTTCCACATCGCACAGCATATAATTCACGCGTCGAACATACTAAAATATTTCATTTTTTTCCCGCTTACAACAAACTAAGTTGAGGTAAACAGCGAAGAGAGAGAGATCGTTTGTTTACGAAATAGAAGACGAGTCCGAGTGCTTTATGCTGTGATAAACTACGAGAGAGATGTTGGGAGAACACAAGAGAAGTGTGTAAAAGACGAGTCGTAGTCGAACACTGTGTTTGATTTGTGTGTTTGAAGTATATGAATTAAGCTATTGTCAACAAAATGAGTCATTAAGCGTAATATTGCTTCATTATTGCTTTCTGTTAATGCTTTCAATACGTGTATATAGTTTGTAATTACCATACAGAGGGTTTGAGTGTTTGTAATAAATTATCATACAAGGGGTTTGAAGAAATATAAAGAAGACAAAGTACGTGATATACGTACGTCAATGCTCAATCGAGAAATGTTTTCTATTTTTCAGGTTTGTCGAATAATTTGTTGGCAAGCGTCGTTGATAAAGTGCACGATCGTATAAATTTGCACGAGACGAGTTCAAGTTTCATTACTTGTTGAAGATCTCTGAAGAACGGTTTGAACAGTGAAATCCAGAATACAGTTACCAAGATACAATCAATTAATATACTGCTTCATTTTCGTCCTAGTTCGATGGTATTGTAATTTTTATAGTTTCAAATGTTTAACTATACATATTATTATATGTTAGTGATGTTACTCTGAGTGTGCATCCACACCGTGGAAATTGAAAAGTTAGTTGGCCACACATCATATACACATGAGTACATAACACCAATATACATATTTTTGTTTAATTCCAAAAAGTGAGGTGTAAATATATTCATTCTACCACTTTTGTGGAAACTACGCAATGTTTCCCGTCATGTTAAATTTTGGGTAAATTACATCTTGGGGATGATAATTGTTTTGTTTAAAACTCCAGCTTTCCCAATTCAGAAAATTTCGGAGTCGGCAGTCGGGGGATTTTCGTGTTATACCCGTAGGTTGTTCACATACGTGAGGCTGGCCTGAGATTCAGCACGCGTCGGCGTAAACGCAGATTGGTTGCTGAACCTACCCCAACTCTCATGTTGGCCGGCATAACATTGCTAATTTCATTATAGCTGCTTCTTTTCAGGAACACTATAGTCATGTCTGATCAGTATGCCGTCGTCGGTTACGTTGAGTCGTCTATCCCTCCGGGAAATGCCCTAAAATTAGGCAAACAGGGAGAAGAAGACATGTGGGTTGCTATAGCGAAGACCGAGTGGGGTACAATTCCGGGAAAAGCTGATAAAGATGGTACTTGCTGGTATTTCTATTTTTGGAAAGAATATCGTACTTCTCAAGAATTCGCTTATGTGACATCCATACGTCCCACTAAACTCGTGAAAAGTGATTCACCGCCTCCATTAGCAGTTCTATCCGGATACCAGACTGGCGGGTCTGGATATCTCTACGCCGCAGTTGCAGAAACAGATTGGGGAACAATCCCCGGAAAAGCTAAAGGTGACACGTGCTGGTATCCGTATGGCAATACGGAACATAAAACCAAGAATTTCAGTTGGGTAGTCCTGGATGAATAGATATCCTTTTTAAACATGGACTTTGAGAAAAAATTATCAAGTTTAAGTTTTTGTATTCTTACGAGTATTTTCAAGGAAGTTCGCGCAACTTGTCCGCGTACTTCTTATTTTTGCTATAAGAAAACAGTTTTTAGATTTTAACTACAAAATAAAATTTACATTTTTATGTATACTATTTGACTCATTTTAGGAGTTAATGTGCTAGTGGTGTTATCTAAATGTCTTTTTGCCACATGTCTCTTGACCTGCAACTTCGTCTCAACATTTTTCAATCACTTCGGGAGTAGAGAAGTGTCGAGGTGACTGGGAAAAGGGTCCGAGTTCTGCGCGATACCAATTTTTGAGCAGGAATGGCGAATCTTCTCGCATTTAAACAACTTTAATTTTCTTTCTTTAAGGTAATCAATAGAAAAAAGATGAAATTGCATGCTGTCTTTTTCAATGACATTTAAAATATTTTATAAATTTTATTAAAAGTAATTATAAAGCGAACAATACATCAATATTTAAAATGCCAAACTTCGTTAACGTCGGCGCTTTTACTCCCCTCTTTTAAAAATTCTTTCGCCTTTATTTTCTTAAAAAGAGTTTGAAATTCACAAAATCTTGCAAAAATAAAATACATGTGCAAGAAATCATCAAATCAAGAAATGTTAGCTATTTCGCAATCGTCATGCAGTCGTTATAATGCAAATTTCAAATTTGACCAATCAGTGTTCGCTATTCATTGACGCCATATATTTGAGATCAGTGAGGATGACCACCCACTCAACAGCGTTAGTCACCCACTCAACAGCGTTAGTCACCCACGCACGCTATCATTGATGAACTTCTGATTTCGCTCTTTCGTTTTCCCGGGTGTAAATAGACGGGTGGAATTAATACCCTCGCCCCTGGCTTACGCCCGGAACGGTGCTCCGCGCCGTTGGCTCGGGGATAAAGTACGTATATTTCTCAACAATCTATTTTACAAAATCGAAAATACATATAATTCTACTGGACCAGATTGATTACCGCAATAAGGCTAAAATAGTTCGATACCGATTATCGGTCGATCACTAAGCTATTCCCGAGTCATATCACCCCCACCCCCCCCTTCCTCCCCCCACTCTCACGCCCTGCCCTATCCTCTAATAAATGAAACCCCCTTAAAAATAGAGAAATTGCAGTTTTGCTGTTACATGCAAGCATTCGAACCCATTTATGAATGAGTCTACCCTGGTTGCCAGAGGTTCTGTATCTTTCGCCTTATTCCCGCACGTATTTATTTTACGCGAGGCGAAGAGAACCTCTGGTGGCACGCGATACAAATCTCTCTTTGGTACAAAATTTGTACCAAGAACATGATTGGTTAGTTATAATTAACAGTCAAATGAAGTGATGTGATTGGCTAGACAAAAAAACCTGTTTATAAATCACAGAGAACATGATGTAAACAAAATACGGAAATAATACGAACGTATTAAATTTAAAATGCTTACTCAGTGTGGATTATTTGAGATTAGCTTAGTTTGTTCCGATTGTTCCACTATAAAAATATTTTCTGCGCTGGAGAGGACCTGCCATCGCGGCATGACTTGAGAGTCGACGGCATGACATGTTCACTCTATTACAGTAGTAATATTTGTAAAATATAAAGTGTTGGTCACTTGCTTATCGTTCAAGGTTTTAAATTTTGGTAATTCTTTGACTTTAATAGTTATATGGCAAGCATTTGTTTTGATGAATCGCGCAATTTGATTGGCCGCTGACGAGGCAGGATTTTCCCGTATTGGCCACGGGCAATACGCAATTTTTATTGCCCTGCGACGAGAGCCGAGTTTCAAACGGCAAAAAGAGTCTAAAAGTCTTTCAAACTATTCAAAACGAAGAAAAATAAACCTAAACTAAAGAAAAGGAGCACCTTCTGTGTTTAAAGAACTTTCTCAATATGTTTTTGTTAGCGAAAGTCGAAATTACAAGGTAAATTTTACAATGTTTATAACTATTAAACCAGTCAGGAATAGCTGGGTTTTGTCTTTGTGAAGAGCTGCAAATTTTATTTGCAGATAGCCGATGAATTTGACACCATCCTAAATAAAAACTACAACTAAATCAGCCACAGATTGATATTTTATTCCTGAAAATTTCTGTTTTTGTTCGATAAAAAGAGACATATTTATGAGATGAAGCGAATTAAAGAAGTACTTGTCCATACTGTTTATTAATTTTATTGTTGTCATATTTGTAATTGTCTTTGTCTTTGATTAAATGACGAAATACCTCGTTTTTTTCTTGAAATACTATCCAAACTGTGTTTGTATTCTACATAAAAAGTGCTGTGGAGTAGTTTTACTAACCAAGAGAACATTTTCTACAATTGTTCTTTTTTGCAAATGTTTCGAACTTTGTACTTTGCCCTCGCGTGACCTTTTTTTCATTTTTTACAAACGTACAATGCCATATAATAAAAAACTTACTGACCCTAACCGTTCGGGCAGTACGGGAAAATATCCAACCTCGGTCTTGCTGTATTGACCTCGCTATCGCTCGGTCTTGCTGTATTGATCTTGCTATCGCTAGGTCAATACAGCAAGACCTCGGTTGGATATTTTCCCGCACTGCCCTCACTCTCGGTCAGTAAGTTATTACTAGTTTACCCACAAGGTAGTGAATGCTGCCTTGTTATAGCATTGTTTCCAAATCTTTAGTATTTTAAAGAATAAGAGTAAGAAATATTTGTAATCACCATTCCCCAATTAACCAAAATTTTGATCTCAACAAGTCTAGAGAAAATTGCATCATCTAAACAAAAATTTCATCAGAACTTCGAAAGAGTATCACAAAATTAGTAATATTCCAAAGTTTCGTTGCAAAATGTTGTAAAATGCGGATAATATAGCTTTGCGAAGTTTGTAATTTTCAGTCATTTTGTAATTTGTATTACGCACAGATTACAAACGGGAAATGGTTACACTTTTCCAAAATTTTGATCTTAACTAGCCTAAACAAAAATTTCATCAGAACTTGAAAGAGTATCACAAAATTAGTAATATTCCAAAGTTTCGTTGCAAAATGTTGTAAAATGCGGATAATATAGCTTTGCGAAGTTTGTAATTTTCAGTCATTTTGTAATTTGTATTACGCACAGAAGTGGTAACCATCTCCCGTTTGTAATCTAAAATGACTGAAACTTGCAAAGTCTAGATTTGTTGAGTTCAAAATTTTGGTTAATCGGGGAATGGTCCGTTGGAATCATCCATAATTTATACACTTGAATGTGCCGTATGATAACTCGGCGCTCGAAGTTTCGTATCGAAAGAGGAACAGCCGAACAAGTACGATGGCTAACAAGAATGAGTGTACTTATCAACTTATCTAACGCGAGGAAAAGATCAAAATGGCAGGTATGGCTGTGATATCTAGTATATAAAATTGTATAGACAATTTGCCTACAAATACGGTGCACTGCTAGGTCAAAACCGCCCCGCTTCAATAATAATATGATTTAGACCAGGGGTTAAAGAGCAACGACAATGACATGCAGGTGACATTTAACGTGTGCGAGTGTGCGTCTCACTGTTTATCAAAGAAGGCAAAAATATATACAAGACAACCTCACATGTGGAATCTGTTCACTTACGCACTGCGTTGTGATGCAGTACAAGTACAAATACAAATGACAAAGCATTTTTAAAGTTAATATCGTATTTCAGCCGCGTTTATACTGCTTGGCGCGCATTCGCTGCGTTATATTAATTTATATACCTATGTTATATACACATATTTATTACTAATAAATCAACACTATATGATAGTATATAAGAACTCACAAAGTGCAGTCACCTTTTTATATAAATAAACCTTTTTAAAAGCATGTCATTCAGTCATTGTCATTGCAGACCAGAGGCAAAAAGCACAGCCACATAGGCCTACCAGATTTATTAAGCAATCGTGAGATTATATACATGGAAAGAATATGGAAATTATGTTAAAAGCACCCCGTATAATGACGAAAGCACCGCGTATAATGC